TGTTTGCTAAAAATACTTTTTTAAAAAATAATTTAGACATATCTATATATTTCTGTAGAAATGTTTATAAGTATAATTTTTTCAATTTTAAGTAAGTTGAATAAAGCTAATTAATTGTTTAATATACTAGTTATGGTTTGATTTTATTTTTTATTTTTTCATAATTTTATACTATTTAAACTAAAATTGTTTTATTTTAAGAAATGTTTTATAAAATAGGTGGGCAATATAAGAAATATGCTTCGCTAATGATTAGTAATCATTAATTTTTTAATAGCGGAGTTGCAGAGTTTGTGGAGTTTGCCCACCTATTCTATAGAACATCTATTTTAAATATAGGCAAAACTTAATTTGTTTTTTTTAAATTGAATAAGTTTATTAGAAATAAATTTTGACTTTAAATTTTTTATATTTAAGTTTAATTAGTTTTTTTATATTATGATTTCTTATATTGAGAGTTATTTGTATATGAGTGTTGTTAAAAGAAAACCTAAAAATTTAAATATATTATATTTAAATTTTTGGGGATTTTTTTAACAACACTCATATAGAAAGAAAATGTAAAATTGGGATTATTTTTTGGTAACAAATAATGATAAGTGCAGCAATTATCAGTATTATATTAATAAAATTAATAAATACTGCAAAGTTCTGAATATAAGCAACTTTTTTAAGTTAATTTTTTAAAAGAGTTGTTTAATTTAATAATTTTAAAATATCTATTAGAAATTATTTATATTTAGGACTTTATAGTATATAAGATCAATATATAAAAAAATATAAAAATATATTGAGTAAAAGACAAAGTATGTAATATTATTATAATTTTTATAATAACTAATTACATAAATAGATACAGAAATATAACTATTTATAATAGCTATATAGTTAACTAATTAATTGACAAACTAATTAATATAAAGTTACTCTTGTTATAGTAAACTCTCAATATAGTAAAGACTAATTAAAATCGCAATATAGTAAAATTAAGCTCAAAATTAGATTTCTTTTAATATAGTGAAATTATTAATAAAAGTTGCTAACTTACCAACTAATTAATAGATTTTTGATTTATATTATTAATTTTGAATTCTTGTATATTAGATCTTTAATATTTATAATTTTTTATAATTTTTTGTAGATTTATTAATTCATAATAGCAACAGATTTTCATTAGAAAACCTTATAACATATAACTCACATGAATGGCTCAATAAGCGTAATCAAGTTGTTGTTAAATTTGTTGAAACTCTGGTTTAAAATAATCAAGCTACCAATATCTCAAATCATGAAAAGCTTTTTAAAATTGCAGTTATAATTGATTCAATATATGGGGCTCGACATGGAAAATATGTATCAGAAATTCAACTTGCTATTTCAGCTATCAAATATTCAATTGTAAGGTCAAAAATGATTATTGATATTGATAACCATATTACAAGCTCAGGAAGTCATTATCGATTTCAAAAATGGATTGAAGAGCTTTCAAAATATGAAGAACCATTACCTAAAGGCTTTTTATTTCTTGCATTTGATAATGAGCAAAAAGGACAAAAAAATTATCTTGATCGAGGATTTAATAAAGTTATTTACCATATTGTTACTAGTTTTGTTGCTTTTAATATAGCACCACACAACAAAATTCAACATAATACTGATTCACCTTGGTTGTATAATACTCTTAGTAATTTACAATATGAAGACCTTTTTAATATTAGTCCCCAAATGCAAAAGGTTATTGATAAAGAATTATATATATATTTAGCTGAGATTCTTACATTATTATCTGAAAAAAAGTTCTCTAATAATATTATAGATTCTCTTTTAGCATCTACATCAGTTGATATTACTAAAATAAAATTTTGTTCTAATTGTAATTTGAAAGATATAGAAAATCGAAAAAGAATATGTCCAAGATGTAAAATGCAACTTCCAACATTAGCTGAAATTCAAAAAGAAGAAATAGATAAAATTGAAAATAATATAGTTGATCAATTAGATAATTCATTTATTTTTAAACCTTACAAAATTAACAATAAGCAAGATATTGCTTGTACTTCTACAATTGAGCTTACCCACCCAATTACAAACCAAGAAGTTAATATTCCTGAAATTTATATTCCTGATCCTATTAATATTAATCCTAATTCAATTGTAAATATTGAACAAGTTCTTTTACATATTGAGGCTATATCAGGTATTAAGAATAAAATTCGTAAATAGATAGTAGTAACTAGTGATGGCGTTCCATATCGACTTGCTACCAAGTTAAAAGAAAAGTTTCCTTGGTTGGTGCTAGTACCTGGTCAATTACATGAAGAGATGAATATACTTCGTGCATATGTAGAATTAAACTGATAAATTATTTAAAATTAATATATTAAGTAGTATAATTCTATATATTTTTATTTGTTATTTTTTTTATTTTATTAATTATTTTTTTATTTGACTTTTTTAATTTATTTCTTTTTTATTAGGGAAATTGATTTGAGACGGTTTGCAATATCATAAGGTTATAAAACTGAAAATCAGCTTGCCTATTTTAAAAAATATGCTGATCACCATAAAGTATGGAATTCTATTTGTATTATATATCGTAAAGCAATAGCTATGGAACTTATGTGGCCATATATAAAAAACTATTTGAATTTATCTGTTGAAGGGTACCTTGCTTGGGTTAAAGAGCAGCATGATTCAATTTATCAGATAAAATTTGAACAGGTAATAATTATTTTATTTTTAAATATAATCTAATAGTAATTAATAAAATTTTTTTATAATAGACTTTTATTTATCTTCAAGCAATTATCAACTATTGAAAGGCTATAAGAACCAATAATTCACTTTTAAAAAGAGCTGCTAAAAGAACCTTTTCACCTATTTGGTCTGGAAGACGTCATCCTATTTATCATTTAATAGAAGTTGCTGATGAAGTTCAATTAATGCAACTTCATTCCGAAATACATAATATTATAGAAAACAATTGTGTAATTTCTAGATCAGGGGTATATAATCAACATCAAGAATTAGATGCAATTTTAGAAGAGATAAATAAAAATTTAAAAGCCTTAATACCACCAGTACCACAATACCATCATTGGAAAATAGCTGCATGTAACTGTAAAAAATTTGTTAAGATAAAATTGTTCTTATAATTTAATTATTTAATAAATTAATTAAAAATTATATAATAAATTAATTAAAAGTTATATACTTAAATCTAAAAATCTATTTTAGCTTAGAAACAATTTATTTAAAATAATTGGATACAACGATCAATCATCAGGACCAAGAACCTGGCCAGAAGCAACTGTGGAATGTCAAAGATTCTGAGCTCTTTTGCGAAGTCTTGAATTTGTAAACTCTATAAACTCAAGAACAATTTATCACAGCTTAGGTGGAGAATATGAATTAGCCGAGAATTTAAAAAATTTTACTTCTTGTGCAAAATTAGCTCGACAAAACTATATTATTAAAACATTTATTAATAAAAATAATTCTTCTCAATTTAGACCAATACCAATTACAAAACGAGAAGCTGAAGCTCAAAAAAATGAAAAAATTTGACTATATCTGATATCTTGTCAAAAATAAAAATTCTACTTGAGCAAGTTCCTGAAAATATTAAAAAAAAGTATTCTGGACTAAGGTCAAAAACAAAAGAAGAATTACTTAGCATACTACAAGAAATAAAATGTTTATTTGATTCAGACAATACACTTAATGACCAAGATTGTTTTGAAATTTCAGAAACAGATCAGCAAGAACAATTGTAATAAAGTGCTGGGTATATTATTAAAGTATAATACCAAAACTACATTTTTAATAATACTAAGTCTTGCACTTGTAACAGCTATCTTTTTATTTTAATGCCTATATTCATAATTTATAATTATATTTAATATTTTAAAACCTAATTGTAAAAATATAACTATTTATTAAATATTCATAATATATAAATAGAAGCTTTACTTTAATTATAATATAAAGTTAAGTATATAGTACTTTTCAAGAAAGTAGCCTAGATTGAATAATAATACAAATAATTATCACTAACCTTGTAAGGCCATTTGAAGCTAATTTTTTGGTTAACATCACTTTCCAGGACTTTCAAAAAAGAGGAGCAAATAAAATAAACATATAAAATAAATAAACTATTTTTAATCTAGTAAATCTATTATAATGAATTGACTTTAAGCTAAATTTAATCTAAAGATAGTTGAGTTCAGATAAATTTGATTCAGCAGTTAACATTACATTCCTTTTATAAAAGAGAGGAATTAATTATATATGTATATACAGCCTGATCCTGATCTAGTGATCAGATCTAGATCAGAATTTTGAGTTTATTAATTCCCCTAAGTTCCTATTGATCAAATGCAGATTTTGTTTCTTATTGAATAAAATAAATCGCTTGATCAGATGGCTTAAAAATTAATATAAAAAAGTGTCGATTCGTAAAAATCAAATGTTTATTTAAATATATTTTCTTATGCGTTAATACTAGTTCTCTAGCTCATTACGGTTTAATTTTTTTTTTTTTTTTAGGATTTTTTAATTTACCGCCATAGCGATACATCGCCCACCCTTTCATATGACTAGTTATTTATAAATTTATATATGAATTTATGCATATCAAAAAAAAAAATTGCAATAAATATCATTATCTAACCCTAACCCAACTAGAGATGTGCCATCACGCACCTGTCAGTGTGAAGTGTTGATTGTTACATAGCTAATTATCTAAGTTAGAATATGTGCTAATTAACACCTCGTATAAACGCGTGATGGCACATCTCTAAACACAACCAAAACCACCTCTAACCCTATACAATACTAATTCTAATCCAACCTATCTGATACTAACTCTGACCCAACAATATGAAAGTCCTTAAGGATGCTTATTCTAATAGATCAAAATCGAATAACTGATCAGATGAGATACCATTCAATAAGTAATAAAAGCTGTTATTTCATATGACAGGCTGCAAATAGAAAATATGACGTTAGCTATTGGGATTGGAGCTAAAAAAAGACGAACAAAAGCCTTCAGATACGGGTTCTGCTGATGAAACATATAGGGTCTTTGCCTTGAAAATAACCTTACAGTATCATGTACTGTAAGGTCATGTTCAAGGCAAAGACCCCATATTGTTATCAATATGGTCGAAAAAGATGAGTGTATGGCCTTCATTTATTATCAAAAATCAGCCGACATAGGGCCTGCTGATGAAACATAGAATGGAATTAGAGTTAAAAGGATGAACACGATACCTCCAAATATTATCAAAAAAACTCCATTATTATCAAATCAGCTGATATGAGCTTGGCTGATGAAAGGAATTGAAAAGGACGAGCATATTTGGTCGATAAAAATAGCTACATTTTGACTACGGGCTTGCTTGAAGTTGCAATTTCAAGTGCTCCTTTCAGTGAACGTATAAAAACTTTAAGCACAACTACGTAACATGACTAATTAGACTAGCACCAAAAATCTAATAATGTAAAAAAAGAAATTCATACCAGGGTGGCAGCAGCTTCGATGTCTCCAAAGTGTAACGCTTCCTACAACGATTCTAAAAGCGACAACTTCGGTAACCATAAAAATGGTGGTTTCAACGATGATAACGTTCTAAATATATTTACAGCAATATATCGCATATGCGACAATGATAAATTACATATCAAACGAATGAAAAGATCAAAAAAGGCAGATACTATGGTATTACTGTGCATATAACTTGTGGAAAATTTGAATAATATTTTAGAATCATCTGACTGCAGATCATTATTAAATTAGATGCAGATTGTTGATGACCAAATTCGGAATATGCCCTGACTGAACTTGTGAAAAATTCGAATAATATTCTAAAATCATCTGACTGCAGATCATTACTAAATTAGATGCAGATTGTCGATGCCCAAATTCGGAATATGCCCTGACTGTAATAGTTTATACAAAGTTTATACGTAGTCTTTAATTAGACTTTATATTGTTATACTACATATATGTAAATAGTATATATATAGCTTATTTAGAGTCTAATAATATATATAAATAGAGACTTGTAGAACACTGGTTAGGCCTCTTTTGAAAGGTTTTTAGTTTTTACGTAGTGAGTTGGAAACTTACTAGGTTGGTTAGTTGGATAGAGATATTTGTTACTTTTAGTGGCTGGGACATAATAAAAAGTTATTGATTTACTTTTTGGTGCCTTGTGTGTGTTAATAAATTCTTGATTACGTACTCATATTAATGCTTACAACCCTAAGCTAAATTGGCTGTATGAATATAAAGTCTCTCTCCTGGTCATAACAATGACTATTGGTTGGCTTCATAATATTAGGTTGAAATATAAAATAAATAATATATTCTAAAAAAAAAAAATATAAATTAAAAAGGTTTGGAATTTAAAATTTTGATTGGGATTTGAGATTTACTGAAGTTTGAAATTTAACCAGAATTTGGGTTTATAGCCGCCCAAATATAATTATTCTGGTTTGAGTTTTAGGATTTTTCCACTTGAGATTGGGATTTACTAGGCATTTGAGAATTTATGGTTTGGACGGCAACTATACCTTCAGGTTGAAGTATACTTCCAGAATTAAATTTGGGTTGAAAAGGAATTCAATGAATTCAATGATTCGAGTTGACAGTAAGTTAACAGATCGAAAAGACTATGAAGCAGTAATGCTAACAATCACATAGCAACCCTGATTCCAACATGAAAATCCGGTATGCGCAGGGAGAAAGATACATACAGGCATATAAATCGGAGGGTCAGTGGAAGCGGTCTAACAGCAGCTCTTCAAAGAAAAAGCAAATTCACACCCTCCCTACCCTCCCTCAATAGAATCCAGTCATTTTTTGCAAATCCTTCAGATTGACAGCTGGCCTGCATTACGCAGGTGGAAACCCACCAGCTAAGATTATGCATTGCTAATTTGATCGCAAAGCTTCTGCCAAACAGCTGGCCTACTTTATGCAGATGGGAAACCACCGGCTAATGCCAATTATACATCAATTGCACTGATGTATGCTATATACACATCTCTTACAATTATATATCAAATTGCGCTGATGCATGCTACATATTTCAATTATATACCAATTGCACTGATGTATGCTATATATCGCCTTAATTAATAAAATTTTAATGTCCGGTGCTATCTGCCACAGGTCGAATGAAGCCATATCGGGATTATACAAGCCAGGTAAGAATTGGAGACATATCAGAACCCGATATGTACCGATAGTTACTATTTAAATATCATGGAGCTATTGGAAATATTGATAGGCCTATCAAAAAATCTGAAAGTATTCCGATATGCCTTACTAATATAGGGATAAAATCAGCAACATATCAAAATTTCGATATAACTATCGATAAATATATTTGTTTATGATTTTTCCTACATAGTTATAGATATTTTATAGTAATATCAGTAAATTATCGGTTAATATAACGCTTATTACATGTCGTCGAAAGCTATATCGGTAATTATTAAATTAGTGTTATACTGATAACAGATATGCGTCTATAATTATTTAAATTTTAGCTGATAAACCTTATGTATATATGTATGAAAATATCAGATACTACGTATCAATACTATACTTTAAATTTTACTTAAAATAATTAGAAAGTACTCTTATTATATATACAAAATTAAATATGAAACTTTCTATTAACTGGGATGACAGACATATATTTTCGCAGGTTTTTTTTCCTGACTACAACAGTTCCGGATATAAATCTACCTTAAATATTATAAATGGGGATAATACAATCCCTACTTAAGTTATAGTACTCTTTATTCCATAGTTCAACATTACAAATATTACTGATTTGGCAATGATATCTTGTCCTTCAGTCATCAACAGCTTGATACCATTGTACAAAAGCCAATACATGTTTTTTTGGACCTTCTGATAGATATACCACATGTTCAAAATAATATTGGACGATGCCGGGATATATGTCGATATTATTATTGTCCAATATGAATTTTGCAAGTATTTTTGCTGACTTTATATACCTCTTAGAAAAAGTTGACCCAAATATTTCATTTCTAATTTTTATCCTTCCATAAATAGTAACACCGGGTAATACTATTATAGATTCTGGTGACCTAATATGTGTTTTAGCTAATGAAACAAAATTATACTCATATGCATTGTTATAATAGTCTGCTAACAATAATATTAATTGTCTCAAAAGTTTCTGTTGATCCTTTTTAGGTCCTAGTAATTCGCCCGGAAATGGTTCGGAGCCTGTTCCGGAACTTTCTTCAACATTTACGAACATTGACAGAAATTTCTGGTAATCATTTCCATTATACATAGAAAGGCTACTGCTCATTGTTTCTTGCTCAATAAACTGCAAGCAAGTTTTTAATTAACCATCTGCATGTGATGAAAGTTCATCAAGGAGAGAATTACATTGCATAATTTTAATAAACTCTGGCTCGATCCTTCTATTGCTGCTATGAAACGACACTATAAAATTAATATAACCTATATGAGCTATCGGTTATTTAATATGACTATTTGTGTATCACCAAAAGAAACATGCACATTTATATATATAAATGTGCATGTTTTCTTTTGGTGACACTCATTTACATTTTATAATGATAACACAAACTTACCTAACAAACCATTCATTCTTTCATAACTAAAACACCAAAATACGTATAACGGCCGTAATCTATAACGCATTTACATATGTATAAACATAAATGTAAATTAGGCGTTATTTTTTCAGGTCCATGATTTTTTTCAATGAGCTGCACCATTTTAAGAAAACATTGGTGAGCCTCTTTCAAACCATCCATAGATACGATTCGGCATACCAAAATAGAATATGCATGAACAAAGTAGGTAAGAATTTGTTGGTCAATTTCACCCTGCAAGTTTCAAGTAATTGACGTTGTATATACCAAAATAAAAGTCTTCCATTAATCTGCAGTAAACCACGAAAAACCTTCACCCATTGCAAGTTTGTAAGAGATTCTGCCAATGCCTGTTAGAACCTTTATTTTTTTAGCCTGATTTTCTATTAAGGCAAGATCATGCGGTATTAGAATCCCTTTATCAATCCATAATTTAACAATCCACTTAGCAATGTCTAAAAATAGGCAATGCATTGGATGATTACAAGAAACCAAACCGAATTAAAATAAGTAAGCTGATAAATTTCTGATCAACGGACTAAAGTTTCTAATGTATGCTTCCTTCTTGCGTCTTCAGTATTACAATCTTTCCACATGATGGCATTTTTCCGAATTTCATCGATATTTCTTTCAACAAACCATTCATCCATATCGGCAAAACCACCAAAGTTTGGCTGATTTCTTTGGTCAAAATTGGCTCTCTTTAAACATCTGTGACAAGCAATTTTAGCTGAAATGTGTCTACATAGCTTTCTTGCAGCAGGAATGTCGCAAGAACAACATATTACTACAGCTCTAATAAATTTGTCTGTAGAACTTTCGAAAGTGCTTGACAATTCTACTTCTGAATTTATGTTAATTATAATAACAATAAAGACTTGATCCGATTTGATATTAAATTTGTTAGTTACCATGCTACAAATCAACCAATTGATCAATTAATGGTGCCAGATAATGGTTTAGTCGATGTAGTTTAGGTTCATTAGGTCCAGGTATTAATGCCAATATCAATATGTTTGCTGGCTTAAATTGTTCATCACATAGAAGATTGTATATGACGCTATAAATTGCTCCGACACTATATGAGGAACTATTGAATAGTTGGAACCAATTTAAGTTAATTATCAAATCCAAATTATGATCCAATAGTTCCTTCCGGAAGAATGGTAAATCTTCATTTAGATCTTGAAAAGTTTTCCAAATTCTTCTATCAAATATGTCAGAAAGATGCATAGGGTCATTAAGTCTTTCTGTTCATTTTCTACAAGATACTTCAAACCCCTTCCGGTTATATAACAACTGAAATTGATGTTTTAAAGAAACTGTTAGAAAAATTAACGAAGGTTTATATATGACACCTTTTGATATATGAATTTTTTTTGTAATGGGATAACTGCAAGGGCTTCTTTTATTGGTCATTGGATGATTCAGAAGGTCTTGGAAAGTACAATGGCTTATTTTAGGAACTAAGTTTAGTTTGGTGGTTGATAGATCTGTTACTTTGTATAATTTGCAACATTGCTCACATGTTGTATATTTGATCAGATGAGCACAGACACCAAGATTTGTTTATACCATTTTCAGTGATGAAGGAAAAGAAGAGTATGTTTTTTCATCATGAAGAATTAAGAGATACCAGATAAATTTTATTAGAGATTTGGTAGCTGTATCGGGTAACTTATACTTTTCTTGATATTTTAGAATCCACAAAAGGATCCATACAAAACCTTTAAGCATATCTATAGGGCCAAAAGATTGTTTCGTTTGTTCTGTTTCTTCCCCAATATTTTC